GGTCAAAGGTCCATTCTGAGCCTAATGACCCTTTCGGCTGGTATGGTTAAGGCATATTGGGATCTACAGCTGTTAGCACACAAGGGACTGATGTGGACAGTATCACACCTGGTTGCCTTTGACTGCCCAGGTAAACTTATAGCTGAGTTTACTGACCCTTCAGCATGTGTCTGGAGGAGCAGAAGTCATACGTGCATGTGTGGATCCACAATGAGATGCCTTAACTTTTTGGTAGCCATATCCCATTCTCTGCAGTCGAGTTGGTAAAAAATGTATTAGTTTCTTGCTGAAAAAAGGAGTCTTGGGGGGACTGAAATTGTTCAGCATTATTTTGAAAAGTCAAACATTTCAAGTCCAAGTGTGTGTGTTCTTTCTCAGATAGCCAAATGTTTGGACTTTTCATTTGAAAAGGAGATTAAATATAAACACTCAAAAGCTATTTGGATTTAAAAAAAAAAATGTTCACCCCCAACCATTTTTTTTCATTCTGAATTGGGGGGTGGGAAAATAATCACCCAGCTTTAACCTTTAGAGAAGCATTGCAGAATTATGGCCACAGTCCATAGGGAACGTGTGGGGCTGATGCCTCCCAAGAATTGAATGCCCATCTCTTTGTAGCGATATCGTCCTTGTTTGTAGCTTGGAACTGCTGACCGTCACAATGCAGGAGCTGCTAGTCCAGGCAGGATGCAGAGCAGCAATCTTATTCCTCCAGTGTATGTCTTAGCTTTCTCAATGCAACCACATGAGCATAACTCCCCATACTCGCCAGAAAAGCAATGAAGCTTGCAATTGCAATGGCACTTGTTCAACGTTCCCAACCCCAACGTCTCCAACCACCATTCTTTAGTCCATTCATGATTGGCCCAGAAAGTCAAGGGTCCAACTTGGCCCATGAGGTGGGATGGGGAAAGAGAGAGGTCCTTATACAGCCTGTCTTGTAGACCAATGCTGCTAGAGCTGCTTCTCCCTGGTCAACTAGGGAGTTGAGACTAACTGAGCTGAGTGCATTTCCTCATGGATGATACAGATGTTGTAGCTTCAGTAGTTACTCTTATTCATTGGCTTATCATGATAAGGTGGATCAAGGGAAGCTAAATCAAAACCTAGGGTGGGGTGATACTAGAGGTGGCTCTGGTTGCAGACATGTAGGTAGCTTTAGCGGTCTGGAGGGGCCCTATTTCTAGGTGATCTGTCTGATGTTAATCCAGTCCACCTCTATCTTCCCTCACCTGTGCTGAAGTCTCCTGTCTGACTCTAGGTTTGGGATCTGCCTTATCCCTCGCGTTTCTGAAGATCGCTTTGACTGCTATAAATGCCACTGGTTTGAAGGCAAAATGAGAGGCTATGGAATCTGTGAGTAAGTAATGTCTGTGGTCGGGGCTCTGGGGCGTGGGAATGGCCGGCCCCTGGAAGGGTGAACGGTCCCTTCATCATCAAGGAAAGTCCTGGCACAATTGCACCACAGGGTAGGACAGGCCACAGGAGCATTCAGCTCTGTTGCAGGATGCCTTGCATTGCAGCAATGTCGAATAGGGGCAAGACTGAGGAATAGGCCTAAATCTCTTGTGTATAGGAGGGTGACAGGGACCTATGTAGGTCCCTAGCCTGCAGGCTGTAGTCAAATAAGACTGAGGCCTCTCCATGGTAAGTCCAGTGTTATGGATGGCTCACAGGTAGCCTTGCAAAAGACCTTGCATGGCTTCGTGCCTCTTTTCTCCTAGTCCTTCCCCATCTTAGCAATGCACACAGCTCTCATGGCTGATGGGTGGTGTGAGCTAAACCGTATCATCCCTCAGCCATGTACGTGCTTGTTCAGAGGGGCATTGTAATCCTCCTGGAGAGCTAAAGCAGGCTGTTTTTGAAAGAATAAAACCATTTCCTCTGGTTCTGGTTCTAACCCCAGTTCCAAGAATTTGGCTGATTTTAAGAACAGAATGCAACATATGGTGGGATTTGCAGTTTCCCTTTGAAAGGCTTGAGGGACAGGGTAGCATTA